GTAACAAAACATATTATTCTGTTTAATGAAAAAAAGTCACTACTTTGGATTAATTTCGCCACTTACACTATTTAAACATTTTCCGGTATATGTAGCTGCTTAATTCAGTTTAAGTAAAATTGAATTTATAAACGAAATTATTTACATTTGCTGAATTTCCCAAGTATTTCCCTGCAACACACGTACAACAAATTGCGTTTCCAGATCTGTAAGAAATATTAACAGTCCTCTCTAATTCCTCGCTTCACTTGGAGCTCTTAAATTATTAAGATTTATCCAAAATATTCGCAGCATGTACGTGAAGCGTTTGTAAAGCGTACCTGCCATCTCATTTTCCTGCTCCGTCACAGATCCCACCTCTAGCAAATTATTTCTCTCCATTCCAGTCGACGAAAGAGGTAAGAGAAGGCGGATCTGTGCAGTTAAAGAAATCTGATTTTACTAGATTTACTTCATCCACTTTATTAAAGACTAGTGTTTCAAGCGGCTCCCATACCACACTAGTGGTAATACCTCCGACATACCCGGGAATTACGCTCTCGGTGTTTCTTTGTCCCATTTCCGCTGTGTAGTAACTTCAACTTTCGTGTTACCAGGATGAAATTGAAAATTACTCGGCAGTTTTGAGCATGCACTGCAATGTCTTCAAACGTTCTTATAATCCACTAACTCAAGGAACTAAGAGCCTTAGTGCGTTTCGCTTGTTCCTTGTTTACAATATGGATAATGCGAAACATTTGTGAACTGTTACATTGCGCGAGGTTTGCACATTAGAATGCAATCAGTTACACTAATTAGAAATTCCTCACATTAGTGCACCTTTATCAACATTACTATAACCGATGGAACAGCAAATACAATAAAATTTTATGGTTTCTATGAGTATGCGAAATAAGCGTCTGAAATCAATGAAAATGAATTAATATGGGACGGCAATTAATTGCGACAACTATAAATTCGTTCATTAAAATAAAACACTTTGATAGTTCCAAAAAGCAAATAGTTAACAAGGTTGTAGTAGCATGAAAATTGTGATGACAATTGCTCCATTATTCATTCTATAAATAACGAGTTGCGTTAATGTAAACTGCAACGATACAAAGTATAAGATCTGGTTTATTATCTGGGTAATCACCACAGTTAAAATGTAAGAAGGATTACTTATTAATTTGATTTGGTCTTATGATCAGGACTACTCATTATCTGATGCATTTTGTCATACACATAGCGCCTCTTTCATGACAAATTAGTGTAGACGCGATTTTGACTCGCTTGCCAAAAGATTAGGAACAACCAGAACGCGTTCCTTGAAAATTAATGATGTAAATAAATATGGCACTCTAGAGAAATTGTCACACTTTACTGTTCCCGTAGAAACGGCTTATGTCACCGCAACCATCATTCTGTACAGAAATAGGAGAAAAGGTAGCAGCTGTGTTACGTTGCTTGATTAAAGATATGGTGGAGTCTCAGTTAGGGAGTTGAATGTATGGAAGTATAAACAACTGATCATCTACTCTTTAGATACACCAATCTTAGTTAATTAAGTACGATGCAGTCGGATTCGGTCTCAGATTGTATCTGGAACAAGCAGATTTCACGCACCGAGAAAAAAAATTTGTAAATAATAATAATAATCCTTTAGGTTTTTTACTTTAAACGACTAACTATTAAAAGCTATTTCCATCAAAATTTTCAATGAAAAATGTTCAGGATATAAGCCTCATAATCCAAATAAAACATCCAAATGTACACAAGCGGAATGTTTCTACTTTTTACTAAACCTTACTACTTTTCTAGCACGCCTTTGAACACCTTCCAATCTTGCAATGCCTTGCNTAATAATAATAATAATAATAAAACATCCAAATGTACACAAGCAGAATGTTTCTACTAAACTTTACTACTTTTCTAACACGCCTTTGAACACCTTCCAATGTTGCAATGTCCTGCTTTAATAACAGACTACAGCAAATATGACTATATGATATGACTACAGCAAATTCTATATAGGATTTATATAACTTGAGAAACATGCTGATGAAAGATTTTTTAATGAAAACTAATTGATTGCACTTCTTCACAACTTTAGTAACATGTGGACTCTAATAGAGAGACTGTTACAACATAGTCCACAGTACAGGCCCCCCCTGGAAAGTTGATTACCACATACTTTATAACTCCTGAAAAGCATCCTTTTGACGAGTCTACCACACTTTTCCTCTGCGACTTTTCTCGATTCCTCCGCTTTTCCACTCGGAACAGTCCAAAAACATGGCAATTTCCCGGGGTCTTGAAAAGTCAAGACCACATCTTTTATTTTTAGCTTCAGTTACTGGAAAATTTGTTGCAAATGCCGATTTAAATTTGTCCGACAGAAATTCTTCCGACATTGACGTGTCTACCGGCTGAAACTTGCCAAAATAACAGGGTATTGAAAATCAATTACCACATAGGTAATTTTTAGTAAATTTAATTGTAAATAATTAATTCAGTCAAAAAGTATTGTTGTCCGACAAATTTCAAGCCGCGTTTTTTCAGTCCGACAGCTGGAAATCGGAATTTTCACGGGGTATGATAAATCAATTACCACATGTCGGACAAAAATAACACACGATGGAAAAGTGTTTTTTATAAGCAAAAATTGTAATGTCCGACAAAAATATGTCCACAAATCGTCAGTTCGACAAAAAATAACGAAAAAAATTTCGTAAAAAATGTGTACATGTATTTATAATTTCTAATAAGGTATTTTCATGTATTAAGCAAAATTCCATATAAATATAGGTACAATGCAGGGTGTTTCAGAAAGAAAGACGGTGTATAAAATAAGTGACTTTTTTCAAAGCTCAACCTTACTTTGAGAAAAGTCACTTATTTTATAGTGTAATATTGTAAGAGTTTAATTAAAAGCCTTTTTTCTCGAAAATCGATCATATTAGGAAGTTCTAACAAGAGTACATTATTTTTAGAAAATAAAATTGAACAATAGAAATTCGAGCCCGAATGGTAAAAAACCTAACCTTAAAAAAATAGAACTTAAAATGTAATAAGAATGTAGCATAATTAGCGCCCTCTATGAAATATACAAAAAATAATTAGACTAGCGTATTTGGCACCTTTAAAAACCCCAGACTACCAAATTTCATAAAAATATTTCGCACCTTTTGGAAATTTTCGTAAAAATTCTATTTAAAAATTTTTATTTTGTGTCTATCTCAAAAACAAGAGGAGATAGAGAAATAGTTCATAAGACAAAAAATTCTCATTTTTTGTCGTACAACCACCCCGTTTATTTACGGGAGGTCTTTCTGAAACAACCTGTATATATTTTTCGTTTTATTCTAGTAATTGTAAATATCTTATTCTCAATTTAGCCATATAAATAGTATCGAGAAAAGAATTAAACGATTTCAAAAAAGTATGTATGGTGTAAAAAAATTATGCACAAAAGTTTTGGGATTTGCTTTTAGAAAAATAGGAAAATTTTTGTAAAGGAAAATAACAGACGCGAATGAAAATTTGAAAGAGAAAAAAGGATTTTTATATCAAGTATAATATTAATTTATTTAGAAATAATGCATTATGCACTAAGATAGTATTAATCGCCTCAAAAATAACTTCATTTGTTAATAATTTTTAAATTTTTAAGAATAAAATAAGCAATATTATAATTATTTATTTGAAACAAATAATAATCTACATAATAATAATTAATAACCATTTATAAATATGAAATTTTTAGCGTGAAAAAATTAAATTTCATCACGATTATTGATTTATTGATTTTTTAATAATTTGCGGACATTAAATCGTCGGACATTTATATCACACTTTGTACAGTAAATTTAAAAGTGGAAAACATGAATTTTCAGCTGTCGGACTGAAAAAAACGCGGCTTGAAATTTGTCGGACAAGACTTTTTGACTGAATTAATTATTTACAATTAATTTTACTAAAAATTACCTATGTGGTAATTGATTTTCAATACCCTGTTATTTTGGCATATTTCGACCGGTAGACACGTTAATGTCGGAAGAATTTCTGTCGGCATTTGCAACAAAATTTCCAGTTACTTAAGCTAAAAATAAAAGATGTGGTCTTGACTTTTCAAGACCACGGGAAATTGCCATGTTTTTGGACTTTTCCGAGTGGAAAAGCGGAGGAATCGAGAAAAGTCGCAGAGGAAAAATATGGTAGAGTCGTCAAAACGAAGCTCCTCAGGAGTTATAAAGTATGTGGTAATCAACTTTCCAGAGGGGGCGGACTAACAACTCCGAGATCATTTTGATGAATCCCACTAGGTAGTTCGATTCCATTAATGTTATACGCTAATCTAGGATTGGTTTTGGACATGTGTAGCACACAGCGCTTTTCGAGATTAAGAGGCAGCAACCATTCAGAACACCAATTCATAATCGTGCCAAAATAATTTTGTAGAAGCGAAGAAGTTGAGGTTGGTCCGTTCACTCAAATTTCAAGACCAAAATAATTTCACTCTTAAATAACCTTAAATGTGCACTTATTTGTGTGTCTAACAGCTTACCACTTTTCCTATCTGTTTTTTTTTGTTTAAATTAATGAAACGATCCATAAGTCGGCGAAGACCGCTGAAGCAACGGCAGACTCGCCAAAACCGACGCGACCGCTCGCAGGGCGCAATTTCCAGGGGCATTTTATTAGACATTTTAATCGCCCAGAAATTTTAGCGGGAATCTCAGAACGGGCTCACATACACACACAATAGGACAACTAGGAATTTATTGTCCGTGTTGAACAGCTGCGGCTATTTTTGTCATGTAGAACAATAAACGTTTCGCAAGAAATGAGGCGGATTATTTGTGTGTCTGCCGGTCGAGAAAGCGAAATCTTAAAATACCGGACGGAGGCACATGTCGCGGCGATAAAAACGAAAATTACGACTTATTTATCGCCGGCTTGTGCGGGTTCAACGTTAATTTGGGCAGCGGTCCCCATCGACCGTCCGAAATTAAAGTGGATTAGCAAAAAACAGACGTTTTATTNACGTGGATATTTCGGTTGATGATGGACTCGTTGCTGGGCTTGGACAGTTGCTCTTCGATCCACTGGACCACCACCTCGTTTTTGTCCCATTTGTAGCTCTGATTATTGCGAAAAAAGAAAACACGTTACATAAATAAACCAGGGTGTTAGAAATTTGACTGCCTCAATTTTAACAGACGATCAAATACATTCAAATAAACAAAAAACCCTTATATGACATGGGTCCCTAAACTCAACCAATCCGAGAAAAAAATTATCAAAATCTCCAACTTGATGTACAAAAGTCCGATTAATTAAGGAATATCGACATAACTGCGTGCATAACACGTTTATCACTTTTTTTACTTCTTTCATTCATAATTACTAAAATTTGAACTAAAATTTAAGCACAACACTATCTTCGTACTACAAAACCGATACATTTTATTTATTTAAAAACTGGAAAACGATTGTCTCGAAATTTATTACATGTTTCACAATAATTGTTGTTTACATTTGTTCCGTAGGACAAGTCTGCCCCGTGCACGCGTGGTACACACCAACTGTGTAGCATTAGCTTAAGCGCTGTTGTCACGTTGCGGTGAAACTCCCCAATACTAATACTCGCCTATTTTGAAAACTGTCAATCTTACGCCCCTGTAATATACAACTTTTTTGTTCATTTGTGATTACACTATCTCATGCTGAAGTAATGGCAGCCAAACTTCTTACACCCTGTATGTTCATTTGGTCAACAACATATTTTAATTATTTATGTCCTCAAACAATTTTATTGTATTGGTGGTAAATTTCGTTTTGTTCCGTTTCAAAAGGTCTCCAAAATGCCATGTTGTAATAATATTTATTAGTGCACAAAATATCCCTCTTATTTCTCCCTTTCGCACTTGTAATATCAATGATTGATAGAAGGTGCCTATAATAAATTAAAATTGCCTGAATCGCACCAAATTCAGCATTGCTGCACTGCACTGATAGGCAATTTGTCGACAACTGAAATTTATGGCCGATCGCCCAGTCCGGCTGCGTTTGTTCGTCGATTGCCCGCGCGCGCATTCTCCAACTTTTAATCATTTAAGTGATCACATTAAGCATGCTAAAAGTTTAAAAGTTTTTAAAAATGTGCTAAAAGGTTTTTTACTCGAATGTTATTATACTTTAGACGAATTTTTTATGGTTTAGTTTGTAAGGGAATTATTTTGACAATTCCTATACAAATTTGTATTTTGTCTTAGAGGAAACAAAATTATTATTATTATTATTAACTGGGCGACCAGACCTGTTTCTGGGTATGGCTAAATAAATATGGGAACAAGTTTTTCAAATATTTCAATGCCGAGTTGCTGCGTCAGCGACCGAACTTGGTACATACCGTCTAGATCTTTGGTCTTCAATTGAGATCGGAAAGACTATAACACCACTGATCTGTTACTTTTACCCTAACCTCTTACTTTTTATCCTTGTGGTTGTACTCCAAAAATTTTTCATAAAAAAAAAGCTCTTGATGAAGGTTGAAATACATCCGAAACATATTTAAATTGCCACAAGTGACATACCTATCTGGGAAGGCAGGATATAAATATGTGTATTTTAACGACAGGCCCTATTTTAAAAGCATTAACACGTTAATCGGGTGGCAAAACCCACATTTCCATGAGAAAGTGTCTGTCTGTCTTTGTGTCTGTCTGTCTGTTTGTCTGTCTGTCTGTGTGTGAGAAAATAGTACTGATCAAGTGACAGGTAATTTCTGATTGTTTTTAAACATTAAACATTACATTTCCATTTTATTAAGCTCGCCGTCTTTAAATAGAACTTCTAAACTTTTACTNTACTTGAGTTCCGTCCAGCACTGAATTACATCCGCCATATCTACTAAACAACTAATATCAGCAGTAATTCAATATTGGAAGGAGCGTTAGCGAAATACATGCTCCCGTACATGAAGAAAGTCATGACATCGGAGGAGGAGATTTTGGAGGAGGAGATTTTGGAGGAGGCGATGCTGGGGGAGATGAAGGTGGCCATGATTTTGGTGGAGGCATCGATATAGGAGGGGGTCACGATATTTCCGGTTATGGAGGAGGCGACATCGAAGGTCATGAATATCACTAGTGATATTATTTAATAGCTGTCTTTACATTGTTTTTATCTTTATCAGTATTACCTTCTGTTGCTTTTGTGATTTTTGTTATTAAAATATATTTTCTATATAACTATTTCCTTTTAAATAACATAAAAAAAGTATTGCTTACCTTAAATAAGGAATGTTTGCTGGAATGTGATATTTCGCTCCTGGGTCGAAATCTATTTCGGATCTTAATACAGGAGGTTTAATTCCCTGATACTGTTCACTAAAAATAAAAAATATATATGTTTATACAAGTCGAGAACTGTTAATATATCGCGTCACTAACCTCAGTCTCCACCAATGGCAATTATATTGATCTTTACCAATTTCACCTTTGAAGACGTCATATCTCCATTTATCCATTACGTAAGCGAAGGGTAAAAAGGCAACCTTTTCTAGTGCCATAGAATAAAGGTAGTTTATATCAACTGCGGTATCATCCACAGAAGGCTGCACTAGTCCTAGGGCTTGCAAATGTCTGGGAGTGCTTACTGATAATCCAATTGCTTCTCCTATTGCCTCATGGAAAGCTACAAATACATAAGTATCTTATTTAATATACAAGTATTCTTTATACTTTAAAGAACTACGATTATATTTTTAAAACAGCATTAACAGCTGTATGTTTACAATTTTTCAGTCCTATATAATAATAGTTATCCGCAGCAATATACATTTCTAATTGCGGACTTATATGGGCTTTATATATTATAATTTACATTTCAGACATTGTTTAAATTCACAAGTGCAGTGAAAGTAAAAGCTTAAAGCAGTTTCTTGCACATGTTTCAAATATAATAATTATTGGGATTATAGTACTTCCTCGTCCATTTAAAACATATTGCATATCTTTTTAAATAAAATACATACTGCAGGCTATGCGCATGGTGATTCGATTAATAATAAACAATTTGAAAGAGTTAATTTATATAAAAAAAAGTTTTCGATAATAAAAATCAGATGTCATAATATTGAGTAGTAGGTATATAAAAGTAATAATATTAGGTAGGTATATCTTTCTGATCAGATAGGTAATATTATCTGGAAATCATTAAATTATTTTATCTGCTTTTTATAATTATTTAGGATAATTAAAATAATGTATTATTGGTAATATATAGTTAATAAAGTTAATATAATTGACATTTGTTTCCAGGAAGTTAGAAATATATATGCATATCTAATATTTATCTACTTATTGACAATGGTAACTGGAAATATTAGTTTATAAAACTAACTCAATACCTATACATGCGTAAATTAAATTAACTATTTACTATACAGAGTGAAACATATATGTTGCACAAACATTCAGAGCTAATTGCTTTCTTAAAAACATACAAAACAAATATCATTTCGATAATCATTGAAGATAAAGACGTCAAATTTGGTGCAGTACAGTTTTGCCAGAAATTACTTCATGAGTTTGAACAAAAACTAGCCATTGCTCACAGAATTAGAAGCGGTCTGATGGGTTTCAATGGGAAAAATTATCTAATATAAATCTCTCAACAATTAGAATACTTTTAATCGCGAACGGTGCATTCTAGGAAACAACACCCAATTAGGACGAAAGTTGTGATTTTATATGGAAATTGATACTACTCGTACGAGGAAGCTATACTGTATTGAAAAAAAATCTAAAAGTCCGCAAATTGAAAGTCTATATTGTTAATAATAGTTGTCGTTGTTGTAAAAGTGGCAATCTTCACCGTTCATGTCTTGTGCCACACGAGCTAAGGACTAGTTCTGCTGAGATGACAAATATACTGCCTCTATAGTATTTTCAATTTCAAGATAGAGTAAATGTAAACATAGACTGGTGCATGCTATTCACGTGATCAGATCGAGCCTCCTTCCTCATCGCATTCTTATTGGCTGATCAGCCATAAACTGCATGAAGAAGTGGGAGGTAGCTGTAGACGGTAGTGGTCAGGGTCGGATTTTGAATTGCTATTTTAGTTTCAATATCTCGTTACTAAATTAAGTATTAAATTAAGTTAAGTAAATAATGCGTTACAGAACATTACACCGGAAAAATGGCAAAAATGTATTGGGCATGTAAAACAAAAAGTGGAAGTTGAAATGTGGAACCTGGATAATATTATTGAGACACAACTGACACAAGTAGAGCGTCTTATTATTAATATAGGTGATGACAATACTTCCAGTTCATCCGAAGAGTTTATTTTTTTTTCAAATTGAGTTCTTTTTTACAATAGGGAATATTTTTAAGTTTTTCAAATTTATTATTAGATTATTATTCAGTATATATTTTGGATATCTACTTTCGGCAAATTACGAATCACAAAGTAAAATATTGTTGTTTTATTTTATTCATACCTAGTTAGTTTTAAGTCCGCCCCTGTTCAATTTTACGATTTATGCTGAACACGTGAAACGTGCGTGTATTTGTTTATTTTCACTCTATCTTGAAAATGAAAATACTATAGGTGTTTATATCTTTCCTGGTTTCAAAGTGCACAGCCTAGGCCTTGCATTGGTGCCTAGTTCAATTATGTTGAAGTGGCTTGAAGTTCATGGTCTGTTAGGTGTCAGTACTTAATGAACAATGGGTAGATTCAAACGTATTTCACTTCCAATTTTTGAAGAATCATAGAGCTGTACATTTGATCTTGCACTTTTATTTTATTTTACAGGTATTTTTCCTTAAAATATCAAATGAAATCATATATGCTCTTTGGTAGCAACTTCTTAGGTGTGTTAAAGAAGTAACTCCACAACTAGCTAGTAATTAATAATTATCTAAAATAAAGGTAAGTCATCATTCATTACCTTCATCATCAACTTAAACTGTCAAAAAAATATATCTTAAAATAATTGTTCTATTATCACCTTTAACAAGGATCATAGCGCAATTTAAACTATAAATGAGCTGTTATCAAGTATTCTCCATATTAAATGGAATTAATAAATATCTGAATATTACCTAATTATTTATAAAATTCTAGAAAAAATTATATATTGAAGAAACTGTCAAAAGTGCTGATTATATGTCAAGATTAGGTGAGTATATTTGTTTACCTAACCAATGGAGCCTTTAGGAATTGTCTTAGAGGGAAATATTACTCTTGTTTTTTATTTTTTTTTACGGGAAGAATCAGTGTGGGTGAAATATAATCTACAGATTATTATACATATATCCATTGTCATTGATTGCTACTCAATGCCTACTATCACAAAGAGTCGCATTGTGTCTGCAGGTAGAAAGCGACCTATTAAGCAACTAAAGGTAATAGATAAGAAAAATTATTAGTTATAGTCTGAAGTTATTTATTTGTAGCATAGTTATCCGTTTACCGGGAATTTTGCTATCAGTGAAAAAATTAAAAAACTAATCCTATAAATTCAATTATGAATATTTTAAAAACATATTGTCATTTCTAGTTTTGATAATGCAAGAAAGTTGATTTTTCGATACGTTAACTATAATATAAGTGCTTGATAGTAAAATATTATTAAATAAATCACGGATTATCTTTATTAAACTATCAAAATAATAGTTTTTTGCAGGAGATGAAATATCCAATAATCAGAGAAATAGGCGAAGTTTTTAACTAATAATGTTGTGGGAAACAACTACTCTGCTTACTTGAGTTCCGTCCAGCACTGAATTACATCCGCCATATCTACTAAACAACTAATATCAGCAGTAATTCAATATTGGAAGGAGCGTTAGCGAAAAGAGTACTCCCTCAATATCGTTAGTTGAGAACACCTTTTTCTACTCTATTTTAATGGTGTTAGTTTAAAACACCATTAAAATAGAAAACAAATTAAGAAACATATTTTATCAAATGAAGTCAAATAATGTTCTTCGATACAAAAAATCTGGGTATGCAAAAGATATCTAACCCTACAGACAAGACTTCTAATAGACCGTGAGCTATTTGCATTTCAATTTGAAATGCGCGTATAAACACAACATACAAATGCCAGACAAGATGAGCTGTTCGAAAATGTAAAAATGAAACTTGGTTTTCATTTTTTTTTTTCTAATTTATATGATATATTTTTGTCTGGCATTTTGCATTTCTATTGAAAAAACAGACAAGGTGGGTTGTTGGAAAATTTAAAACGAAATTAAATTAAATTAAATTAAATTAAATTAAATTAAATGGTTGTAGAAGAAATAACATCTTGTAATAAAAACTTTTTATTTATTTGTAGTTCATGTTTTGAATAACATTTTCCTGCAATTTTATTTCTTAATTCAAATATGATTTAAAATGTGAATTTTTTAAATTTACGGAGCTTTTTCCTATTTTCCAGCTTTTCTTGGCTAGGTAAGTCACTTCCGTTAACAGCATCAGATTCAGTACGTCGGAAATAGTATCTTGCTTAAATCGAAAAAAAAATGAGAAATTGTATTTATTTATTTATATATTTTCGAACAACCCAACTTGTCTGGCATTTTTAATTTGAGTTTGAAAGTGTATTTTTAATTAAAAAACGAATTTCCGGACAAAAAAAGACACTGAAGTTTTCATTAATTTTTTTACAACTATTTAATTCAATTTAATTTTTACAACCCAACTTGTCTGGCGTTTTAACCTGAAGTATAAATATGTATATTCAATAGTAATGCAAAATGCCAGACAAAAATAAATCGCTTAAATTAGAAGAAAAAAGAAAACCAAGTTTTCATTAATTTTTTTGTAACTTTTCAATTCATTTATACATTTTCGAATATTTCAACTTATCTGGCATTTGTATATTGTGTTTATACGCGTATTTCTAATTGAAATTCAAAATGCCAGACAAAAATAAATCATTTAAACTTTAATATATTTTTTACTAATTTTCTTTTGTCTGGCACAATTTTTCCATTTTCCAATTTGTCTGGCAAATTTTTTGTAACAAGAAATATGGAAATTAATTTTAAGTACCCGAGATACCAGACAAATAGTGATAACTGAGAAATGTTAAAAATTTTCACATAATTTTCCACAGAGAAACTCGACTCCGAACATTGGAAACCGTCTGGCAATTTATTTTTATCATTTTCATAACAAAAATTTTCATTGTTTCGACTGCCAGACAAAAAGTAAACGATGAATTTTTTTTCTTCTTGCAAGTCTATGAACCAACCTTTCGGCTATTTAAAACCGTCTGGCATTTGAAAATTGTTAGGTACTTATTAATGTCTATTTTTGCAAAAACTGCCAGACACTTTAAGATGAGTGAGAAACTAATTATTTTATGCAAAAGGAATTAATTTTCCAAATTTTCGAACACGGGTCGGCCCTTAAAACCACCCTTATCTTCATTAACTAACTTACCTTTTTCAGACCTCAAAATGCCAGACATTTTTCGATGACGCCACACCCATGTGCGCTAGCTCATGGTCTATAACTGTAATCATTTGAAGAAATATCCTATATTCTTGCTATTCTATTATCACTCTTGACAAAGACTAATCACGTAAAAGAGTAACAGCTAAAGATATCTATTTATTTCATAATCTACTTGGGATTGTTTCATCAGGTGGCTTCCCTTCACTTATACTATTATAAATATTAATATTATTGTTTTTTTTTTTGTATTTCTTCCCTTAATATTGACAGTTAGAAAGCTTGCCTGTAGAGCCATTACTTTTACATATTTTTATTTCCGGCATTGAAGAACGTTGTTTAGCTTCATTTCATTTGATTTTTTAAAATTTATTTTTTTTTTAATCTGTTTGAATTACCTAGCTTAATACTTTTGAAATAGAAAAAAAAGTGTTAAGCTAATAATAAAATATGTTTTTTAAAAGGTACTTAAATACTGTGATACTAGGTTTGCTTTTATGGTACCTATAGTTTAGTAGGTTGCTATCTGCCGGTAAGTAAGAGGCAATACTTTGTGTTAGTAAGCATTGAATAGCAGTGACAATTAGGATACAACATACTTTGTAGGTTATATCTCATCCACACTAAAAAACGAAATCAGTAGATTGACATCCAAACAGATAGATCATCATTGGCTGGTTGTCTCATCTATGGCGTAATGATGAGAGCTAATAAGTTCCAAACTGATTTGTATCTGGTTGTTTTATTGACGGGGATTTAGTTCGCAGAGCAGTTATTTTCGGCAGTATCATTAGGTAAAAAGTTTATTTTACTTGGTGAGAGAAATCTAAACAAATTTGATCCAACGTAAATGTAGACTTATTTTTAAACACTATTCCAATAACATATCAAGTAAAATTAGTTTCGGATCGTCTTAGTTGGCAGGAATAAATTTTTTAATTTACCGTCGAATTATCTTATTTCTTTATAGACTTACCAGGATTCGCTCCATCTCTGAACACTTTTGGTTGATTCTTGTACTGCATGAAATAATGAATGTGAGCTGTTTCATGATGAGCTGTTATTAAATCCTTCATGTTAACATTGGTACACATCTTGATCCTGAAATAATATATAATTATAAATAATCGTCTTGGTTGTGAAAGACGTACGTCGTACCTAAGGTAAAATTAATATATCGTATTTCTGAGTAAACTAAACTAATTTAGTGTTATAGACTATACAGGGTGTTACGAAATTCGCGGACACGGACCCTGGGATCATATTAAGCTAGATAAGGTCATAAAAAAAAGACGGTGGAAATTTTGAACAATTGTTGTAACTCGTTTGTCGTAATTGTTTATATAATGATTGATTATTGAGATTTATAAATATACAGGGTGATTAATTAACAATGGGAAAATCGAAAGCTGAAGATACTACAAGTAAAATGGTGACCATCGGCACAAACATGCCTTATCCGAAAGTTGATAGTTTCGGAAATACAGGGTGTTGAAAGTTAAAATTTTAAATCGTTTTTTTACAATTATTCTGAAAATATGTAGGTTAGGAACCTGAAAATTTGTGAAACTATATTTTTTTAAGCGACGAATAAGATGCGTGTTATAAATTCAGCATTGCTCATAGAGGGCGCCATTTACGACCAATTTTACAGAAAATTTAGTTAATAACTTTTTACCCTGTATGTCTAACATGAAACTTGGTGCAAAACCTGAAAGACCATTTTTCCATTAATTATGTACTCTTGTTTCATTTCGGTATATCGATGCGTTTTCGAGAAAAATAGATTTAACGAACACTATGTTTTGATAATACGAGAAAGTAATAGCGATACAAACTAAGTGTTTCTTCATGTTATTACAACAATTAACAATAAAACAAATGAAATGCCTACGTAATAATGATTTAAATTGTTCGAAGAATCCACCGTTGACACTGATACACTTTACACAACGTTTTCTGAGAGATCTTCGAGTGTGAAACAACATATTGGGACTGCTTCTGACTTCGTTGGTAGCGATTTGTATTCTTTGCCACAAGTCTTCATACGAACCAATAGATTCTTTGTAAACGATATCTTTCATTCGAGGCCAAATAGAAAAATCAAAAGGATGAAGTCTGGTCTTCTAGGTAGCCAAGCAAAATGCTTCCACGTCTTAAAGAAGTTCTACTTTATTTAAGAAGAGACATGTGGTTCATGCTCGACGGAACTCCACCGTATTTTTCTCAGCCAGTGCGTGCATATTTAAATGTAGTTTTTCCAAATCGCTAGATTGGCCATGTAAGCATTTTTGCTTGCCCACCCAGAAATCCGGACTTCAATCCTCTTGATTTTTCTTTTTGGTCTTGAATGAAAGATTTGGTTCGTGTGAAGAGTTGTGCCAAAGAATACGAATCGCTGCCAGCGAAGTCAAACGCAATCCCAATATGTTGTTTCAAACCCGAAGGTATCTCAGAAAACGTTGTGTAAAGTGTATCAGTGTCAACGGTGGATTCTTCGTACAATTATTACTTTAAATCATTATTACGTATTTCATTTGTTTTATTAATTGTTGTAATAACATGAAGAAACACTTAGTTTGTTTCGCTTTTAATTTCTCGTATCATCANGATTCTTCGAACAATTATTACTTTAAATCATTATTACGTATTTCATTTGTTTTATTAATTGTTGTAATAACATGAAGAAACACTTAGTTTGTTTCGCTTTTAATTTCTCGTATCATAGTTTTCGTTAAATCGATTATTCTCGAAAACGGATCCAGATACTGAAATGAAACAAGAGTACATAATTAATGGTTTCATATTAGACATACAGGGTAAAAAATTATTAACTAAATTTTCGGTAAAATTGGTGGCGCCATCTATGACCAACGCTGAAATTGCAACATGTATCTTATTCGTTGCTTAAAAAAATTTTGTTTCACAAATTTTCAAGTTCCTAACCTCCATAGTTTCAGAATAATCGCAAAAAAACGATTTAAAATTTTTACTTTCAACACCCTGAATTTCCGAAACTATCAACTTCCGGATAAGGCATATTTGCGCCAATGCTCACCATTTTACGTGTAGTATGTTCAGCTTTCGATTTTCCCAGTGTTAATGAATCACCCGGTATACAGGGTGATTCACAACTTATCCAAAAAAATTTGGGAATAGATGCGGCATGAGAAATGGAGTCAAAATTGTAAAAAAAATTTTTGTAAAATCCTTATAGTTTCTGAGAAAAAAATTATTGAAGTTATAGCATATTAAACCACTACATAGCTGGACAACTGTAGTCTCTAGCGTCATTCGCAATACGCGTGGAGAGCCATGTGACTCCTAATACTGAAATCCGTCGTTGCGGTAGTTTTTACCTGTTATCTGTGGTATTTACATCAGTTTTTTAGTAGTTAGTGTCAAAAATGGCTTGCGTGTATAGCAACTCAGAGTTGATGGATATCGTTTTAATTTATGGTGAAGCAAGACAACATTTGTATTATGGTGAAGTATTTGTGTTATGGTGAAGCAAGACATCATTTGTGTTAGTTCGTAGAAAGTGAGTAAGACGGACCCAAATGTGTTTACACGTGAGTGGATAAAATTTTGAACAATTGCTGTTGCAGCATCGGGTATGTCAAATGATTTTATTATTTAAAAACACAAATTAATTTTATTAATAATTAATAAAGGCAAAAGCATTTGAATTTGCCGATATAAAATAGGTGCGATAAAATTCTATTTACATATTTCTTTCCTTGCGAAAGTTTTTGTCCGTTTTTATCACGCCGCCATACCGGTCGCATTGTGCGAGGTCAGGTTTTACAGTGGACCAGTTTCCAGTGCCGTGCAGAAGTGTATTTTTAAATCAATTTCGAACTGACCTTTTTGATTTTTTCTTTACAAAATTGTATTTGTAAGGGTCCCCTGTACATCCAGAATTTTTTTTTGGATAAGTTCTGAATCACCCTGTATTTTTATTATTTTTGGATATTTGATACTGCTATATCTCGAAAAATACTGGTCTGTTTGAAAAATCATAAAGACACTTTCTTATCACCTTATCTAGCTTAATATGATCCCACAGTCCGTGTACGCGAATTTTGTAACACCCTGTATAAAGGCGTATTATATCTCACCTAAAATCTCTTCTGTTGCAAAAGTCCCATGCAGATGGTTGACAAAGTACAACTCTATCCAAAGGTTCTTCAAAAATTGACCCTTGCCAAAAGTCTAGTGGCAATGCACTCATATTAAGTGAGACGAAGAAATCTTCGGCCAGCCTGAACATATCAATGGAAGAATAACCCTGGAACATAGGTATGTAAAATATATTAAAGAATACTTCAGGTAAAATCTAAAATAAATACGTTTAATTTTCTAATATTTAGCTAGCAGTATTTGGAAAACTATTTTAATATCTATATTAATAACGTTTATTGATTGTGGAGTGTCAACTTGAGTGAAAACTTTAGAAGTAGTGCTAGTAGAGATATTTAATTTTTAAACACAGTTTGGCTTCATTAAACACTAGGACACCCGTTTAAAAATTTTTTTACGATGATCCAACTCCAACCACAGACTACTACGGTTTTTTTTACAATCAATTTTTCGAAAATTACTTTAGGGACTTTTTTGCAAAAATATGGCAACATGGCGTTTTTCAGCATCACATGTGGCCTGTGGCCCAAATTTCATCAATTTTTATCAAATATTAATTTTGTTATAGAGCCTCAAAAGTTTTATTTATATAATTTGTTTATCCGTTAAAAAATATAGAATGCATTGGAAATTATTGTTAATCTACAATATTGTTCCTCTACCTACTTGACAAATTAAAGTATTAACTTAAGAGCAATACTTAACTAATAACATTATTTTACTTCGACAAATTACATTAAAATAAGTAAGCAAAAAAATTGAAACTCAATACTTTTTCCATACCTCAAAANGGTTAAAAATTAGAATAATTTGTATATTATAATGTGTAGAACATTTCTATTATACAGCGTGTTAGAAGTTTGACTGCCTCAATTTTAACAGACGAGAGAATACATTAAAATAAACAAAAAACCCTTATGACATAGGTCCTAAACCCCTATCAATCATTTTCGATTAATTAAGGAATATTGACATAACTGCTTGCTTAGAATACCATAAAATACACACAATGTTTTATCAATTTTTTGAACTTCTTTGCGCTTAATTCTAAAAAATAATTAGCATTGCAATAAATTTAAAATTAATATCGAGCAATGTGACAACAGCGCGGCGGATAACACGAGGTACTAAGCTGTACAGCAATATGCAATTCAGTTGGTATCTGGAATTGGATCGTGTTTGAGTGTTTTTTTTCGTACCACTATTTCCTTTTCTTGAGGTGTTTTCCAGCAAGTGTGCGAAAATTAGATTGGAAGGTGTCGTGTGTGCATCGAATGGTGGATATTTTGAGCATATGTTGTTTGTTTTGTACTTGTGCGTTTAAAAATTACTGAATTTTAGTAATTAATTTTTAGTAAGTACCTAAATTATTTTTAATACGTATGATTATTTGAAAGATGTGAATCTTTAGGAACTTTAATTACGTATTTTTAAAATTCATAATTTGATTAATAGTCAAGTTGCTGTTTTAAAAGATTAATAATAATTAAAATTCGAGATAAAATTTAAGCACAACACTATCTTCGTACTACAAAACTGATACATTTTATTTTATTTATTTAAAAACTGGAAAACGATCGTTTCAAAATTTATTACATGTTTCACAATAATAGTTGTTTACATTTTTTCCATAGGACAAGTCTGCCGCATGCACACCAGCATTAGCATTAGCTTAAGCGCTGTTGTCACGTTGTGATGAAACTCCCCAATACTAATACTCGCCGTATTTTGAAAACTGTTAATCTTACGCCCCTGTAATATACAATTTTTTTGTTCATTTGTGATTACACTATCTCATGCTGAAGTAATGGCAGTCCAACTTCTTACACCCTGTATGTTCATTTGGCCAACATATTTTAATTATTTATGTCCTCCAACAATTTTATTATTTTGACGGTAAATTTCGTTTTGTTCCGTTTCAAAAGGTCTCCAAAATGCCATGTTGTAATAATATTTATTAGTACACAAAATATCCCTCTTATTTCTCCCTTTCGCAATTGTAATATCAATGATTGATAGAAGGTGCCTATAATAAATTAAAATTGCCTGAATCGCACCAAATTCAGCATTGCTGCACTGCACTGCTAGGCAATTTGTCGACAACTGAAATTTATGGCCGATCGCCCAGTCCGGCTGTGTTTGTTCGTCGTTTGCCCGCGCGCGCATTCTCCAACTTTTAATCATTTAAGTGATCACATTAAGCATGCTAAAAGTTTAAAAGTTTCTAAAATTGAAAATGAAGGTCAAAAATTGCTTATTTAAAGATTTTTTCTTTTTGACATTTAATATGGACTTTGTGAGAATTCAATTAAAAAAGTTGAATAGAAGATGCAAAATTTATCCTTTAATTAATTGATTTTTAGCAAGTGACAATTTCAATAATTCGGATCACATTGAAAGAAAAACCGCAGCGGTTTGAACACTTGAGGGTTTCTTTGGGATACTCTGAGGTTAAAAAAAAATAATAAAAATATCCTTAGTGTATTCAGTAGTTATAAAGTTATCTCAAGCGAAATCTATTAGCGAAAATCCTTAAATACGCAATATGTACATTTTTTTTAATCAAAGGATTGCATTAAAAAGTGGTTTCCGTCAAAATTGAAAATTGATGTGGATACGAGCTACTTTTCGGGTCTGAAATAAAGTTCCGATCACAAAAACCCCGGCAGATGGTTTGCTCGTCTTCACTTTTTGATCAACTTTACTCCACTTTTTTTTATCATTACAGACACTCGTGCCCAGATGGAGTCAAAACGCAATGCAGATAGCGATGTCACCCATTTGCAAGGAAGGTAAAGCCCATGAACATACCGTCACACCACCCACACCCCTCATGTCCCCCATAAACCGACCCAAAAACTGCCCCGAAGGCAGATAAAGCCCACCAACATATCGTCACATCATCTGCACCCCAAGCATTTTCACACTACTGTCGACTGCCTATTTTTGATGAAAAAAAAATAAAGTAAACCACTGACAATTGTAAATACCGATTTTAAAGGAATTATTCTTAAATATTTTCGTCATTTATGGTTATTTTTGGTAAACCCCATCGCGTCAGGAAAATTGGAAAATTCGGTTTTCTTAAAACTAACAAAAATAGGCGAGACCTTTTCAAAGGAGCATTTCTAATGGAGCAACTATCACCTAGTTTGAACCGCACCGTATTTTCGATAGCTCCGCGATAGACTTATGTCAAAAAATGTTTGAATGAAAAAAAAATATTGTACAACATAGATTCGGTTACCTCTGCGGCGCCCTTGTCCTCGATGAACCACCTCCTAAGCATGGCCTCGCCCTGGCCCAGCGCCAACTCGGGTTGGGCATCCATGAGGCCCTTGATTACCCTGTCCTCGAGCAGACGCCTCCTCAGCTTCCAGTACAGAATTGACCGCGATTTCCGCCACGGTACAATGTCCTAAAATCGATAACAAATTCTTTCATAATTTAAAGTTTGATCAGATACTAATTTTTAATCGATATTAGACAACGAAAATTTTACATAATGAATAATAAATGGAACATTTAAAAAAAATTATATATTCTTGTCCGCAAAGCATTGCATACAATATATTTTAGAAACGAATTTAGGAGATCGTGTAAGTCTCTTCGTCAAAAATTTTACAATGGTCTGCGGTGAAACAGGATGTTGCGTTTTAATGTAAATGTTTATGAAGGTTGTGGAGAACAAAATTATATCAAAAATAAAAACACTTAGAAAAACTTCAATTTTAAAAGGACAACGCTTAAAGTGTTGATGTCTACATCTGTGAATTGCTTTTTAATCCCCAAAATGCAGAAATAGCTGAGATCTATCTATCATGGCTGCGTTTACTGGCGAGTCTCTGTTAAGGAGGATCAGGTGCTTCATAAAATCATTGCCAATGCAAAGAAAAATGTTCCTCATGATTAGAAAGTAAGTAGATCGAGATAGTTGCTTCTAGATATTTAATAAAATCGAATTTAAATTACTTATATACAGGGTGATTCATTAACAATGGAAAAATCGAGAGCTGAAGATACTACACGTGAAATGGTGACCATCGGCGCAAATATGGCTTATCCAGAAGTTGATAGTTTCTGAATTATTATTCTGAAAATATGTAGATTAGAAATTTGAAAATGGGTGAAACTATATTTTTTTAAGCGACGAATAAGATGCATGTTGCAATTTCAGCGTTACTCATAGACGACGCCACTCACGATCAATTTTACCGAATATTTAGTTAATAACTTTTTACCCTGTAAGTCTAACGTGAAACTTGATTCAAAACCTGAAAGGGCAATCATTTTTCCATTAATTGTGTTTCATTTCGGTATCTCGATCCGTTTTCGAGAAAAATCGATTTAACAAACACTATGTTTTGATAATATGAGAAATTAAAAGTGAAACAAACCAAGTGTTTCATCGTGTTATTACAACAATTAACAATAAAACAAATGAAATTCGTAATAATGATTTAAAGTCAGTGTTCGAAGAATCCACCGTTGACATTTGCACACTTTACATAACATTTTCTGAGAGATCTTCCGAGATTGAAACAACATATTGGGATTGCGTTTGACTTCGTTGGCAGCGATTTGTATTCTTTGCCACAACTCTTCACACGAACCAATAGATTCTTTGTAGACTATATCTTTCATTCGAGACCAAATAGAAAAATCAAGAAGATTGAAGTCCGGACTTCTGGATGGCCAANTTGATAAACAGTCAATTCAGGGAGTAAATAGTAATTTTGTCACAGAACTTGAAAGTATCAGTATCAATCAAGGGAATGGGAACAGGGAAGACTCACAGACTCACCAATATCAGTTGGCTTCTTAAACAGAGAATGGCTGTAGTTCTCGAGGTCCTTTCCAAAAGTGTTCTGGCTAGTGCTGAAGACTTGAGAGTCAATAGTCTGGAAGGGTTCTTCACGTTGGTCAATTTCTTACTACCAAATATGATTTCTTCTGGACTACGCACTATCCTACCGACTGCGCCAGTTAAAGTTGCAATTCGTGACTTGGAAGACTTTAACACATTTATTTGTTTCAACACGTTTATTGATTACTAGATATTCAGTACAAGTCGTAACGTCTACTACTATTACACTGATGATGAGAGATCTCGCATGAGTTTATATAGGGATCTCTTATCATTTACATTGACGTCAATTAGATAGGCAAAGTATACATAACAATATATTATGCATGAAGGACAACGAGATATAAAAATAAAAGAAGATCCGGGTTCTGTACAGGGTGTGTAACTATGGGCAAGCAAAACCACTTACATGGCCAATCTAGCGATTTGAAAAAACTGCATCTAAATATGCACGCACTGGCCGAGAAAAATACGGTGCAGTTCCGTCGTGCATGAACCACACGTCTCTTCTTAAATAAAGTAGAACTTCTTCAAGCTGTGGAAGCATTTTTGCTTGGCCACCCAGAAGTCCGGACTTCAAATCTTTAGATTTTTCTATTTGGTCTCGAATGAAAGATATAGTTTACATAAACTCTATTGACTTGTGTGAAGAGTTGTGGCAAAGAATACAAATCGCTGCCAACGGAGTCAGACGCAATCCCAATATGTTGTTTCAAACTCGAAGATCTCTCAGAAAACGTGTAAAGTGTATCAGTGTCAATGCTGGATTCTTCGAACAATTACTTTAAATCATAATTCCGTATTTTATTTGTTTTATTGTTAATTGTTGTAATAACACGAAGAAATGCTTTGTTTGTTTCGCTTTTAATTTCTAGTATTATCAGAACATAGTGTTCGTTAAATCGATTTTTCTCGAATACGGATCGAGATACCGAAATGAAACAAGAATACACAATTAATGGAAAAATGATTGCTCTTTCAGGTTTTGAATCAAGTTTCACGTTAGACATACAGGGTAAAAAGTTATTAACTAAATTTTCTGTAAAATTGATCGTAAGTGGCCCCCTATGAGCAATGCTGAAATTACAACACGCATCTTATTCGTCGCCTAAACAAAAATATAGTTTCACAAATTTTCAAGTTCCTAACCTACATATTTTCAGAATAATCGCAAAAAAACGATTTAAAACTTTAACTTGTGTTATTTCCGAAACTATCAACTTCCGGATAAGGCATGTTTGCGCCGATGGTCACCATTTCACGTGTAGTATCTTCAGCTTTCGACTTTCCCATTGTTAATGAATCACCCTGTATATTATTTTTTCCCAATATGCATAAATAAATGCCAAATGTTGCAACATAAAGTTGGCAACAACGTACGAGTATGCCGAGTTTATAATTATAAAATGTCGGATGAACAATAGAAAGTTGATAGAAAGGAAAATTTGTGACCAAAAGAAAGCATGAATGCTTGAGAATTAAAACAGAAAATAGCTAAAGCTATTGAAGAGAAGATTGTGGAGCCACAATAATAGATTTTCCTGTTACATCATACATTGCATATTGAAGTCGACATGTCTCGAAATCAAGTAAATATAAGGAAAAACTCTATATTACAAAAATTTTTTAATATCGCCACGCCATCTATACAGAAAGATTTGAACTAACAGTTCTAACTACAATTTGAAGCTATTCGAGGCACCTAACAACCCCAATTTCCAAAACTAAAATAAATTTATTCATTTCGGAGATATTGGCAGCGGGAGTGTCAAATGTACTGTATAATTTTGAATTTTTTTCCAGATAATTATTAATTTACCTACGAGGTGTAGATATATTTTGCATATCTAGATTTCTGGCATCGAAGAGCATTGTTCGACTTCACATCATAAGATTTTTCAATAATTATCATTTTCATTTATTTACATTAGCTCAACAACATGAAAATAAAGTTAAACTACAAGAATTAATAATAAAATATGTACATCTTTTTAAAAAAGCTTTTTTTTTAATTCGGAAGAAACACCTAACTTTAAGTATGTAACCTGTTACAGATTATTACTTTTTAGGAAAGATGTTGACTTTTTTAAAATGAATCAGCGTACCAAATAGCCCACTTACTGTAACTGAAAATATAGTAATACATCCGAATTTTTTATAACTGCATAGATTTTTCTCAAAATTTAGAATTAGGCTCATCTTACCCCCCCCCCCACTTCAAAACTTATATATGTGCTAGGTGTGCTTTTTGTTCTTAAGGGGTGAAAACCACCTCTTATTGGAAAAAATACAAATTTAATTTGTGTAATCAAATCTTTTTTATTTAAGCAGTATGAGTAATTTCATGTGCTATCTAACATGAAACTTAATGTATCCCAAAATTTCAACCCGGAAAAACCACCCCTTTCGATGAAAATAATATAAAAAAATTTTTTTGCAAATTGCAAAATTCAATTATCTTCATTTTTGCAGCTTTGGTAAGGTTTTATACATCACCCAAGTTTTACGTCACTGTTTTTTTTTAATTTTTGGAAAAATATATATGTACGTTTATAAAATATTTCATCACGGTAGATTAACCAATTAATTTTCATCGTTTAGATCCTAAGCTACTTAACATTTTGCGCCTGTTAACCGTAGTCGTACATTATTCAATATATCAACATAATACAAAACTTTTAACTTTTCATTTTCGAGCGCAAGCTCCGCTCTTCGGCGCTTGCATACTATTAGAAATATGCAACAGTAAATTTAAACAATTGTTTACTTAAAGGTTTACCCCACACGTAAGTTTTTGTTTTATGTTGATATGTTGAATAATGTACGAGTATGACGTATTGTAACAGGCGCAAAATGTTACGTAGCTTAGGATCTAAACGAGGAAGATATTTTTGTTATTAAATTGTAGGTAATTGCGCTGGCTAATCTACCGTAATGGAATATTTTATAAATATACGTCCAAAAATTTAAAAAACGGTGACGTATAAAACCTTACCAAAGCTGCAAAAATGAAGATATTTGAATTTTGCAAATTGCTTTTAGTTCCTGCATATTTACACTATGTGTGTACCAAATTTCAAGTGTCAGCAAAGCTTCGAAAAAATTTGGCAAAGTTTCGAGTTTCAGATGCCGATGAATGTATAACACCTTGTATAACAAAAAGTTTTCTCTTCTCCTGATTTTCGGCTTTAGTGTCATTAATGTATATACAGGGTGGGCCATTAGCGTGAGAAAGTACACTAACTCCCTAAAATTTCCTAATCGAACCACCGCCATTTTGTAGCTATTTTTGTCACGAACAAAATCATGTCCTAAGCATTTTTTTGTACAAAGTCATCCCGCTTAGTTATTTAACGAAAACTACTAAAACAAAAATTTTTCACGATTAAATTCTTAATAACTTTTTTTCCTGATAAAATACTTTGTCAGCAAATTAGCCTGTTATTGTACTCGTCATTTAAAGTAGGCCTGTGTAGTTATTTCCGGGTTATCAAGTTTTGACAGTTTGACTATTTATATATACACACACCCCATAGAAAGAGAGGTCAATCGCGCTCATGTGTGCAAGGC